TCAAAGTCCTGAAAAAATCTGTCAATGTCCCCATCCACCTCCGATAAAGTTTTAACAGCAGCGTAGGGAGTTTTCTTTGGTCCGGTTTGCAGTCTGGAGAAGGCAGGAGGTAATCCCCTCCCAGAACGAGCCCTCAGTTGATGTCTGGGAGTGACTAAGCTGCAGTTGGGTGACATCGTCCAGGGCCTTAGAAATCTGTTTCGGAGGTGGGAGAGCTGCCGAACAGAGCCAAACGCCACTCCACCTCTTGTCGTAAATCTGAATGGTATAGGGTCTCCGTACGGTGCTAAGTGGGCCTGGCGTTTCAGGGGCCAATGAGCTCCTCTGTTCCTCCAACTCCTCTTGTGAAGCAGAGTTCACTTCTGGTGGAGCAGTGTTCGCTTCAAGCGTAGTGGAGTGTGCATCAGGTAAAGTGGGGTGCGCATCCATTTGGTTCAGGGCCATAATTTTGTCCAACAGTTCCTCTCTGGTCTTGCAGCCAGCGATACCTCCCCGAGCGACAAGCAGGCTTTGGAGAGCTGGCTTCCGAAGGTCCCGAATATCCATCTGGCTGAGCAGGGACGTCTCCGTGAAAAAGATGGGGTCCTGGTTGGTGGTTTGGACTTTCTCTGCAATGAGAAAGATCCCACCGCTGCCAACCAGTTGTGAAGGAACCGTTCTGCCTGGGCTTCCTCGTGCAGAGCGATGCATCTCAGCCAATGGTCCCCTGCAAGTCTTCCAGTGTTCTGCCAAGGCAGGTATTAGAGCTCAAAACCAATCCTTCCCTGCTATCCCAAACCACAAGTCGGAACTTTGTGTAGGGTGAAATGAATCAATCTTTATACAGTTCAGTATATACAGCTTCACCCCCTTCCCCACCAGACAGCCTAGCACCGAGTTTTCCCCACCCACAACAAAACCCTACAACCCAACAATACAGTATGAACTCTATAGAAGTGAAAGATTACAAGGTCACATTTCCCTAAACAAACCGTGTAGAATGTCTGTCTACATAACAGCTGCTAAACATATACAGCTTTACCAAGGGGAGAATGAGAAGACCATTTACCAAGAGGAGAATGGGAAGACCACTTAACAAGGGGAGAAAACCAGAACAGAAAGGGCAAAATGTTATCGCAAAGGGATGGTTCGTCACAATGGCCCAAACTGATGGCAGAGTCCGACTGGTTGTGTTGTCAGCCTGCTGATGCATTTCGGGGACGTGTCCCTTTCCTCAGAGCTGATGCTGACAAGAGTTGATGCCCTAATATATATATGTGTGACCAGTGCTGCCTATAGCAAAGACCTCTCCCCTCAGGTACCTGGTCCCTGCCCAGATTACTGCATTCATTTCATCCAAATCCCTGACTTGTTTCCATGGCTGCTATGAAGCAGTTACCCACCTTCACATGTGGTGGACCTGCCCGCTTTTTCAAACGTATTGGTGCAAAATATTCCATATGCCTACAGTTCTTTATGAAGAAGTTACAGTATAGATATCCATCCGGCCACTGCCTCATTTAATAACAAGCCCCAAGAAGTATACCTTATGGTGTGTCTCCAAGCTATGGATGGAAGGAAAGGGATCACCCCACCGGCAAGTGAGAAGAAGGGAGCATGAGTCAGAGCGATTCCAGTGTCAGCCAATACAAGTAAAGGGATGGATGCAGTGTGACCAAGCCCTAGTGGGCGGGGTGAAATGCATCAGACGGCGTGGCTAGAATGGCAGCTGAGGCCATTCCTCAACACTGGACTGGGGTCGGTTGACCAGTGTCCATTCCATTACTTGCATAAGGCCCAAGAAGTGACACACTGGCAATTCAAACTACTCCTGTAGGTCACCACCACGGCTAAGCAAACCATAGCGAAGGCCTGGAAATCCCCCCACCTCAATACCACTGAAACTAAGAATAGTGTCACTCGAGCCACGATACATGTCAAAGTAGAAGCCGTCCTATTAGACAGAGTGCATAAAAATGAACAACTATGGCAACCATGGGTTGACCATTTCCTACCCTCAAACTCTGATGAAACCTTACTCTCTTTGTAGTCCTGAGTCCATTAGGTAACCCACTACTCAGTTGCTACTCTATACAGGCACACACCCTCCCCCCTGGGGACCTCCTCTCCTCCCCCCTTATCTGTACCCCTTTCTTCACTACTCTTGCTCTTATCTCTCCATTGCTCTCTTCCTTTTCACCTTTCCTCTCATTAGCTCTTTATCCCTTATGGGTTTTTTTCCAATTGGGGGAACCTACACTATCAGTTTGAATTTTCAGTGAGGCGGACAGGTCACCTACTCGTCTGCCACTGATATCTGCATACAGGTTGAAGTACTAAATCTATACTCCCACTGTGAGAGTACCAGAAATGATATTATAGAGTATATAACATGTTTCAGTCTCTACATTCACTCCCCCCTTGATACTATAGCACTGTTATCTCTTGCTGAAGTTAAAGCAGAGCTCCACCCAAAAGGGGAAGTCCTGCTTTAAGGACCCCACTCCCCAATAAGAACTGGCACCTTTTGAGGGGGGGGGCGTACCTGAAGTTGACAAGTACTCGTTCCCACTTCTGCTGCAATCACCTAGGTCAGGGGGTGGGCAAACTGTGGCTCTCCAGCTGTTGTGGAACTACATTTCCCATGAGGCATTGCAAAGACCGGAAGTTACAAGCATGACTCCTATGACTTGCAGAGGCATGATGGAACTTGTAGTCCTGCAACAGCTGGAGAGCCGCAGTTATCCCACCCTGACCTCGGTGATCTCTGTTGTCCTCCCCCCTCCCTCCCTGTAGTATTCTGGGACAGGACCATTCACAAAGCACAGAGATACTCACTCTTGAAGCTGCAAGCTGTCACAGCTGGGTGCCCACTTTGAAGATGCCCGGCACTGGAAACACAGGGCAGCCGGTGAAATGGGCTGCGGGGAGGACACCACGAGATTGAAGGACAGGTAGGTGTCTATTTTTTAAAAGTCCAGCAGCTATTGTTTTTGCAGCTGATGACTTTAATTTTTTTTTTTATTTTCACTGGAACTCCACTTTAATGTACTGTACAAATTACAACCTGTACGTTACCTCTAAGGGTTGTACCCCTTCTGACTTACTGTTGGTGAGTCCTGCAATCACATTGTTATGAGCTCCTTGTAAAACTATTATCTCTTTCCAATAAAATCTATGAACAAGAGAAGATACGGACCCCCCAATTCCTCTATATGCTCCACAATTCTCCCATGTGGACACCTCGTAAGTGGTTCTCCAGTATAGACTCCCAGTTTGGGGAACTCATTTAGAAGAAGCCATCAGCTAAAATTAAACTCCCTACTCTACAGTATGGTGAAGACCAAGGAGGCCTAGCAATACCAAATGCTAGACTTTAATTTATAGCTGCCCAACTTCAACATCTTACCAGGTGGGACTTAGTAGACACATTAGATCCCATCCTGTCGATTGCTACTTCCATCAGATACAGATTTCACATCACTCTTACACTTGTTAATGGGCTTCAGATGGCACCAGTGGGAAAGGCATGATCTCTCATATATTTATTCCAGTCTTTTGATTCTTACTCGACTTGTAGAAGGAAATGGGAGACAGAAGATAAATAGAGAAAATAAGAGATAGTAATGGGAGGTGATTTTGACCTCCATACCTCTCATCTCTCTGTCCTCTTCACAGAAACTCAGTCATTTCTTTTGCATAGATCTTTCTGGGACCCCTGTTCAGCTAGGACAGGAGGGATTTCCCCTTATGACCCCAATTGTAGCGGTGATGTCCGGGATTTGATACATGTTTTGAGAGATGTCCAAAATTATTCAAAAAGTGGAACGATATGACCAGCATTATAATGTTAGTATTCAATATTCCTCGGGTGTGCCTCTTGATCTCAATAGATGATGAGGAATTATTTGCAAATACTCCTATTATAAGTCATATAGCAATAGTGAGGCTGCTGTTTATTGACCATAAAAAAATATCCCGATCTTGGCTATCATCTCAAACTCCCAGCAGACAACAGTGGATTGAGCAGGTGAACTCCACATTAACATGTGAAAAACAAAGTTGCTAACATTGTAATGTCCCCAGCAGATGTATGTCTGGCAGAACTGGCTGGATACTCCTTGTTCACTTCTAGTTAGTTCTTCACAGGCTTTTAAAATCTTAGCTCTTTTAGCCCCATAGCGAAGAACGGCCAGTTATCCTACTGAATGGTGACTACATGGGAGGACTGATACTTGGGGTATGATCCTGTAGACACAGGCCTCATTGATCGGTGTCAGCTATCTATGTATGTACTGGGGGGAGTTACTTGCCGTGTACAGCTGAATTGTTCTAGGTTGTTTCATCTTTTCTCTGTTCATTTGTTTTATAAAAGGTAAAAGTGACACCATAGACAAAGCAAGTTATTGTTCTGTATGATCTGTAACAGTGCCACAACTGCCTATACGTGAGAATGTATGACTCCATTGTCTGGGCTGAATGTTGGGAATACTGTGCGCACTTATAAACTTTATTAATAAAAGTATTTGATTAAAAAAATACTGTAGATAATGCTGTACATATTCTTTCTATTCATAAGATATATTTAGTAATGAAACATTAAAAATAGAAAGAAACTTTATGTAGCCCTTTATATAGATTCTATTTTTTCTTTCTGAACAGGTGGATTGATGAACCAAGTTTTTGGGACAGTTTTGGTCTTCATGAATACAGCTGAGTCACATGGAAAATAAAACACGTATGTCTTAATTGACTGAAAGTCTTTACTGCAGTTCACTGGAGGATTCACACGGGATACAAGTCATATCTGTGTTCTAAAAGTCATTGATTTGGATCCTCTTCCACATTGATCCAGCAGGAGAAAAGTAATTTCAGTGTTCTGGAAGTGACAATGGCTTTACAATAACGTCCAACCCAAATATACATAAGAGGAGTCATTTCATACTACACTTCTTGTTTGTAGATTTTAGAATGGAGAGAAAATAAGCACACACCAGAAGGTTCACAATGGAGGGAAGCCATATCCTTGTTCTGAATGTGACAAAACTTTTATAAGAAAGAGTGAGCTTATAGTACACCAACGAGTTCACACTGGAGAGAAGCCATATCAGTGTTCTGAATGTGATAAAGCTTTTACACAGAAGTCATATCTTATCTGTCACCAGAGGATTCACACTGGAGAGAAGCCATATCAGTGTCTGAATGTGATAAAGCTTTTACACAGAGTCACATCTCCTTAGACACCAGAGGATTCACAGTGGAGAGAAGCCATATCAGTGTTCTGAATTGTGACAAAGTTTTTACACAGAAGTCAATGTCTTCTCACACACCAGATTGAATTCACATTGGAGAAAAGTCATATCGGTGTTCTGAACTTGGAAAAGAGTGAAGCTCATGCTTATTCCACAGAAGTCAAGTCTTCTCACACACCAGATGATTCACACTGGAGAAAAGTCATATCAGTGTTCTGAATGTGATAAAGCTTTTACAGTGAAGTCATATTATTCACACACCAGAGGATTCACACTGGAGAGAAGCCATATCAGTGTTCTGAATGTGATAAAGCTTTTACAGTGAAGTCAAATCTTATCACACACCAGAGATTCACACTGGAGAAGTCATATCCGTGTTCTGATGTGATAAAGCTTTTACAGTGAAGTCAAATCTTATCAGCACACCATAAGAGTCACACTGGAGAGAAGCCATATCAGTGTTCTGAATGTGATAAAGCTTTTACAGTGAAGTAAGCGATCTTATCACACACCAGAGGATTCACACTCCAATGTCATTCCCTCATCCCACAATCTAGAGAAGTAAGAGAAAAATAAAATGATACTTTACAAAAATATCCTTTTTTTTTTTTTAGACCAATGGGGAGACTTTCTTTTGATTGTATTTAATTAACCAGAGGGTTTATTTTTTGCTAACAAACCAAAAACCACAGAAAATTATGAACAAAAAAAAATTTTCTTAGTTTTTGTTATACCAATATTCTGCTTCACTGATTCTCTAATGACTGCAGTGATGGCACTGATATTTTTCACTTATGGTCAATATTAGGAGCACTGATGTGCACTGATAGAGGCACTGGTAGGTACACTGATGCGCATTTACAGGCTTCACTGATGGGCACTGAAAAGGCATCACTAACTCAATTGCAGCACTAATAGTCACTGACTGGCATGATAGGTGGCACTGACTGGCACTGATACAGGTGACAATGAAAGGCAGCTCATATGCACTGATATTGGCATTGGATGTGCACTAAAGGCACGATATTGGCCATTGAATGTGAGCACTGATGATAACTAAGCAGTGGCATGTTTAAATATAAACCTTTTGATGAAATATTACAATAAATATAAACTAAATTAAAACAAAGTGTTCCAAAAAAATCACAAAATCCAAAAACAAAAAAAGTTCCAAAAAATTATACCCAATTTTCAATTTGTTTTTCATCAAATAACAAGAAATGACTCCTTTTCCAGCTCCAGTAAAAACCTCAAAATTGAAAGATACAAAATCTAGTGCATTACCATAGTAAAATAAAATAATCACCCAGTGCAACTCCAATATCTGCAAAAAATTATATTGTATTATTAATAAAGAAACATTTTTCAAATCAAACCCCTTTTTTTTAGTGACAAAAAAAAAATCCTGTGAACATCATGACCCTACAACTCTGTGACCCCACCCAGACAAATACTACTAAATATATTACCCTCGTGATATGAAAAGCTTTGACAATACAGGGATCAAAATCCTCAAACTCTCTTAAAAGGGCTTTTTTCCCAAGGTCCTCAAAGAATAATAATGGTTCAGGACAAAATTTTAAAAAGCATAGGTTTGTTTTAATTATCACTTAATTAAACATAGATATTTCAGCTCCCGAATGGGTCTGGCGTTTCCACCAAACAAAGTAAAAAACCATGTGTGGGTAACCCAAAAAAATGGCCGCGCAAACACTTCCCTCCTTTCTGCGCTTGATTCACCCCCCAAACGTTTTGTCACTTCCCGGGCTTCGTTGAAGGGATACAGACGTCTCACTTGCCACTCCCTTTTAGTCAAGCCCCTAATGACTGGGGGCTTCGACCGCCATTTTTGAATGGGAAAAATTAGCATTTTTCGCATCTCTGTCATTTAATGGTATGTGATATGTGGCAATTGACGTGCCTAGAAAGGCCTGATATGTGGCATTGAGTGACATGATGAGAACTGCAGGGGGATGGATGACCCTGCAGGGGGGCATGTGGGGTTACAGGGATCACGGGGCACTGATATCAGTCCCGATGATCAGTGTACATATTCCCTCTGGGAATCCCGATTCCCAGTTTCCCCTTGTCAGCGGAAGCTATGAGGAAAAAAATGATGATAACGGCATTTCCCCTTTTTTCTGTGTAAGCTCTGATTGGACACAGTGATCACATGACCGAGCCAAATTCTTCGGCTTTTTCCCATTGATCAGTGATAAGCTGTATCCGGGGGAACAAGCGCACCCTTGATGCCCACGCTGCGGCTCCCGCACCCAGTAGTGCGGTTAGAGTGGGAGGCGTTTGACAACCCCCCAGAACGAGGAACCGCTTGTGCCTTTTCATTCCCTTATATGGAGGGTGGGAGGTGGTAAAAAATCAAATCTGTCATTGCAGAGCATTTTTTTTTCCGGAGTAGTTTTTTTTTTTTTTATTCCTGTAGGGGTTAACCCTTTTGGCAAAAAATGGCATTTGGGAGGGGTTGGGGCAAATCCATAACAAAGCTGTGGGTGTCACAATGTCAGTTTTTTCATATTTTGGGGGGTTGGCCTTATAGAGAACTGTTTTCTGGTCTGATGTTTGAATTGTGTTCTGAATTTACCTGCTGTAAAAAGGTGTAAATGATCGCCGCATGTTTCCCGAGTACAGGGTGAAAAATCCTTTCAGGAAAAGTAGGTTTGGGACCCAACCCAAGGGGGGTCCCTTTTTGGATTTTGGGAGAAACAAATTTTACATGGTTTCTTTTCCCTTAATGACACGACAGGGGGGTCCACTTCACTAAAATAGGGGAAGCCAAAACAGGCCGTAACATTTCTTGGGGTCTAAGTATTGCAGAATGTTTAATCCCCTTGGGCAATGGATTCCTAGTCCTTCCCTTTAAATTTTTCTTTTGGGGGAAAGGAGCCCAAAATGGCTTCCCCTTTAATTCCCCCCTAGTTTTACTTTAGGTTTGTTTTCCCCTCCCCCAATTGTAAGGGAAAGCCTCAAATTTTTCCCATATCCCCTGGCCTTCATGAGAAGAAACATTTTTTACTGGAGTGGGATGTTTTATGCAGTGGCCCTTATGAACGAAATTGAAATATAATTTTTCCTTTTAGTTAAATTATTTTTTACCCCCCTACGGGTCATGGACAGTAACCATGACCCATTGATGGTATAAGGGGCTGACAGGGGAGAAGTGGCTCCATACCCAAAGGGGGTTCACAGAACTGCTGGGGGATTATCTTCAGAAGATCAGGTGGAGTCTAAATCTGGGTGTCGGAGGTGTTGTAATTTTTATTAGATTTTGGGATTTTTAGGGGGGGATATCTACACAAGGTAAAGGGGGTTCCAAAGTCACCTGGGTGGGGGGGGTGGGATCCCTTTCTTGGGTGGGTTTAGTTGGAACTTGGTTTAGTAAAATGGTGGTTTGCTTCTTTGGCCATTGTTGCTACTTTGATTTGTTTATAATTTTATACTTTTGCTGTTTTGGGCTTTCGCTGCCAGTTGATTTTGCTTGTTTATGCACTGTTAATTCCATTGTGAGAAAAAAAGTTATTT